GTCCATAGAATAACATTCTCAGCCAATCTATTCACTAGTCATGGAAGAATTGCCTACATTCCACTTGTCATATCAAGTCAATAAATCTCAGCCACCATTGCTGTGTCCTCAAGCAAGTAGACAATTCCTACCAAAAGTCCGAACAATGTAAATCTAGTCTCCTGTCTATAAAGTGGTAGGCGCCTTTGAAGTGTGGATCGGATAGTGAGTGGTAGCGCGGTGCTTCTTTTGCACCGCATGTGATAGAAAAACATCTCGATCCTCCTGAAAACCCCCTGTCACACGTTAATCCATGTGTGTGATGCCCATTTGCTTACTACCTTCCACAGCTTCCCCTTCACAAACGATGTAGCCGAAAACCACTTCGTTCATCCAACATAGTAAGCATCATTGAAAGCCCTCCTTCATATCTCATTATCCAGCTGTGTCAATAACAAAGATTCCCCCTGCTTAGCTCGACACATCATTCTTTGAGTGCCTCACTGCCACAATCAAATTGTTTCAATTATGTGCGGGCGGCACGTTCCACTACCGCATACTCCACCTCCCCTACAATTCAGCGGCTTCTGCCATCTAGCAACCCAATCAAACGCGGGTTCTCAAGTAGACGAGAGCTTGAAACACATCCACCAGATCCAACAAAATTTTATGCTGTCAGGGTTCAAAGTGGGAGTCAAATAGAGGGTACCGATAAACCTACGCAACCCTATGCTTTACAATGCATCCAATTTACAATTTCCCATGGGCCGCAACGAGTGACCGCAGCGAGTCACACCAATAAAACAACACTAATACCTTCGGTCATCTGATGAATGCAACTTTTATTCCCTCTAAGTAGTTCTATCAACTCAACTCGCACGAGCGTTTTGTCTCTGTGTAAGCGCAGCCCAAAAATAAAAAGCATCTCATGAGCTCGTCAGATAAAAACCCAGCCTTGGGGACAGACGTACAATCGTTGGGTCTCCGCCTCCAATGAATTATCCGCTCCGGTCCTCATTTGACCTCCGACCTGTTGATATGTCTGACGCTGCTGCTGATGCTGTCGTTCCGCCTCTTCAGCGGCTGCCTCGATGGCAGCGAAGTCGGCCTTCACTTTCGTCGCCCCCCCGAAACCACCGCCCCCGCCGCGCTTTTTTGGCTGCTTCGTTCCGCCGAACTGAAAAAAAAAAAACAGGGAAACCGCCGATTTGGTAACCAATGCGTATCGTGAACGCAGGCGTCTCACACCTTGTGCAGGATGCAAAAGTAGCTATTTTTACAGATTTTGGCACTACTAATGGAAGATGTATGAGGTAATACACTTTGACCAAAAGGAAGCGAGAAAATTACTGCTTTCCTCTTAAATTAGACCTTAACAGAACGTTGTGTTCATAAGATTTAAGAGAAGAAACCTCAAGGGGTGAAAAATACAATCATTAACCAAAAAGACTTCTTCCAAGAGCTAAATTACTAG